TGGTCCAAGTTGCCTTGTTCGAGATCCAATTAGATGTGGAGACATGAAAGGAATTAGGATAAATCTTCCTTATGATCTGTTTCAAGAGTCAAATCAGAACAGACTCTACTCTCCTAATTAATCCCCGCTGAGTCAGACATATCTACATCTACACTCTTCAAAGATGATAGATTCTCTCTTCAAATATGATAGATTCTCTTTTTAAAAATGATAGATTCTATTTTCAAAGGTGAAAGCTTTATTAGATTTCTACACAAGTCCAAACAAAGAAAGCTGATGTTACCAAAGACAAAATGGGGCATCAAAGTCATAGTTCTGACTACGGCAAGAGTTCCACAAATAAAATATTTCTTATGAGACTTAAATGAAGCAAAGAAGGCACCAAGATACAAGTTGATCAGATGATTCTGCAGAAATGCAAGCTTGATAGCATAAGTTTCTACACTGATATCCAGAGGTAACCCTGGCAATAAATGATAAAAGTGAAGGAAGACCTAGTTCACCACTTTGAAGTCAAATAAGATTGCATCAACATTTATGCATTCATAAGAATATCATTTACACAATTGACAATGCATTACATTGATACATATGATTGCATTCAAACATAAGGTTTTGCAGATCTTCATATGAAAAAGAAGATTCATGATGAACAATACCTTACAAGAAGAAGGTATTCAAAACCGCAAATACAGGAATCACGCAAACATCTGAAGAATAGATGAACATAATCTGCAAGAGTGAGCATTATCTTGAGATTGGGGCATGTTACCAATCAACATGTTATTTTGAAAAATAATGTGAAAACGGTTTTCATAGTTTCTCATTCAATCTTTTCTAAAAATGAAATTGTTGAATAGTAAGAAGACGATTTTCATAGTTTCTTACTTAGTAAACTATTTCTCACATCTGTAAGTCCTACAATGCATGATGTTTCCAAAAAGCCTTCGGGAGCTTTTTGATGTTTTCAAAGCCTTAGGGTCATCTGTAAGTCCTACAATACATGATGTTTCCAAAAAGCCTTCAGGAGCTTTTTGATGTTTTCAAAACCTTCGGATCATCAGCATTTCCAAAGAATTCATAATGAGAAGAACTTATCTGAAGAAGGAAGAAGAAGTTCATAATGAGAAGAACTTGTTCAACCTTTTGCTTAAATTCCTCACTCGATGGATCAACATTACCAGAAAGCTCATAATGAGAAGAACTTATCTGAAGAAGAAAGAAGAAGTTCATAATGAGAAGAGCTTGTTCAACCTTTTGCTCAAATCCATTACTCGATGGATCAACTTTTCCAGAAGAGTTCATAATGAGAAGAACTCTTCTGAAGAAGGAAAAACAAGTTCATAATGAGAAGAACTTGTTCAACCTTTTGTTTAAATTCATCACTCGGTGAATCAATAGTGCCAGTTAGAGTTCATAATGAGAAGAACTCATCTGAAGAAGAAAGAAGAAATTCATAATGAGAAGAATTTGTTCAACCTTTGTGTAAATTCATCACTTGATGGATCAACTTTTCCAGAGAAAGTTCACAATGAGAAGAACTCATCTGAAGAAGGAAGAAGAAGTTCATAATGAGAAGAACTTGTTCAACTTTTTGCTTGAATTTATCAGCATTTCCAGTCGAGTTCATAATGAGAAGAACTCATCTGAAGAAGGAAAAAGAAGTTCATAATGAGAAGAACTTGTTCAACCTTTTGTTTAAATTCATCACTCAGTGAATCAGCAGTGCCAGTTAGAGTTCATAATGAGAAGAACTCATCTGAAGAGGAAGAAGAAGTTCTAATAAGAAGAATTTGTTCAACTTTTATGATTCTATCACAGAAGGAGATAGATCAGCATCAACATTTCCAGAAGTATTCATAATGAGAAAAACTCATCTGAAGATGAAGAAGAAGATCGATCAATATCAGCATTTCCAGAAGAAGTTCATAATAAGAAGAACTCATCTGAAGAAGGAGATAAATTGTCATCCCCAGTGGAAAAGTTTATAATTAGAAGAACTAATCCCAAAGAAGAAGAACTTGTTCAACATTTCCATCATAATCAAGTGAAGTCAAATGAAAAAAAAACTTATTTTCTTTTCGTCTTTGCCCTATTCTCGTTAACACAAGAATGAACAAAGAGGGGAAGTTGAAGACACTAGTTTTTTATTTCATTTGTTTTATTTATTATTATTATTTTGTTTTAATATTATTATTATATTATATTTTTATTATTAAATAAATAATTTATTATTATTATATTTTTACAGGCCCATTTTACAAAATCTGAAGCCCAACAGTAACCGGCCCAGATTCAGAAGCCCACAGGAAACCCTAAACCTAATTTAGGGTTTGTATCATCTCTTGCCCCAGCCTCCAGCATCACAGCGTTGGATCTAGTTTTGATCCAACGGCCCAGATGGTCCCAACAAGGAAACCCTAGGGTATCATAACCCTAGGGACACGTCCCAGTTGCCGTTGCCTCCGGTGCCACGCCACCTCGCCGTTGAAGCCTCCAGAAGCTCTGCTGCCATGATGACAACCACACACGTCGCCTCTACGGTGAGTCACCAGCATAGCTTTGGTGACTCACCAAGGCTTTCATCCTCTAGACTGGTCCGACGAGAGCCTCACTGAGGCTATAAAACCTCGTTTCCCCTGCAAACAAAAAAAAGAAAAAGGGGAGAAAAAAATAGAAAGAGGGGACAACATCCAGCAGCCACAGAGAAGAAAAAAAGCAATCCAGAAACTTACCGAGGGAACAACGGTCATCAAAGCCTCCTTGCGCCTTCAGAAAGCCAAAGGTCGAAGGTAAAAAATTTTAGATCTACGCATTTTAGTAGTATTTTAGGCTAAAAAACCTCCAGATTTAGCTTTAGGGGAAACCAGGCTTTAATTTGGGGTGGGTTGTAATTTCCGGCCACCGGATGTGGTGGCCGGCGACGGGTTTGACGGTGGCCGACCGGAGATCATTTCCCTCCGGTGAGGGAAATTAAGAGAGAATGGAGAGAGCTTCTTCTTCTCTCATTTTTGAGAGAGAAGAAGAAGAGAAGAAATGAGGATGCTGGCCCTTCGGCCAGGCGTTTGGAGCTATATATATCCCTTCCCAAACGACGTCGTTTTGGGAAGGGATATATGTGTAATTTACACGTATGGATAAACCCTTTCCGCAACCATCTTAGTTTTGTAACATTCCATTTTAGTCACTGAAATCATTTCCTATATGTCGTGATTTAGTCCTTTAATTTTATTTTCTTATAATTTAATCTGATCGAATATTTATAAATATATTAGGTAAATAACATATTTAGTCCTTTAATTTTAATAATTAATATTTTAAACCCCGAACAACATATTTCAATTTATTTTAATTTGATATATGAAATTTATATAATTTTAGTTTAGTCACTAAATTAATAAATAAGGAGAATAGCATGTTTAGTCACTCAAATTTTAAATAATTAATTATGTATTAGGTATTTAATTCTATTAGGTTATAATTTGTCACTAATTTCAATTTTTATTTATTTTTTTACAAGTTTTATTTATTTTAAATATATAGTTTTAATTTTATTCATTGTTTAGTTATATGTTATGTTTACTTTTAATTATTATTACTATTATTATTTAGCCATAAATATATATATTTATATAATAAATAATATTTATTTATTAAAATCTTATTTAATTACTTTTAACTTATTTTAATCCTGTTTTAATATTTATTTATTTTTCAATATTAAGAAAGGGCAGTCTTAAAACAACTGGATGTCCATTTTCTGATATTTTTAAATAAATAAATATCCTATTTTATAAATTATATATTAATTTTTTTAATTATTTATTTATTTTTTAATATCGAAGAAAAGAGCTGTCTTAAGGCACCTAGAAGTCCTTTTCTGATATTTCTAAATAAATAAATATTTTATTTATAAATATATATAAATTAATATATTTTTTTCATAATTATAATTTTGAAATAATAGGATTATAAATTAAATATATTTTGAATTTTTAAATTTCTAATAATAGAGACAATTTATAATTAAAAAGTACCAATTTTGGGCGTTGTAGGGGTGCTAATCCTTCCCTAAACGTAACCGACCACGAATCCCTTTTTATTATTAAAAAGAACGAATTTTTGGTTAAAACGCAGATCAGTTTATCTTTTAATCGATGTTTTCTTAAAAACTCTTTTAAAGGATGATTTTTAGGTATTCGACCTACCTGATCCAAAAGGCCGATGACGACTCCCAAATTATTTTAAAAACCATTTATTCACATCACTTTTCCCGCTAAGTAAAAAATTCGTGCCCGGACGAAAACCGGTTACGACAGACTCCATTTTGCTTTTAACATTGTTCACTTGATTCTGGCTTGCACTTTTCTTTATAAGCACAGCCAAGTTAACACTGCGAGCTTTGCAATTAACGAAAGCCAAGTTAAGATTCAGTACTCATGAAAGCAATTGCTTACTAAGTAAAGGAAATAACTTTGTTAACAATACTTGCTTCTGACAGCATGATAAAGTACCAATCCATGAAGAGATACTCACAACGTGTACAACTATTCCATCCAGAAAACAAGCCGTTCATATTTTATGTGACAGTCATTCATTCCCAAGCATTTCATTCAAATTACATTTGAAACAGAACTCGATCTTTTACCGCATATTCAATCGGTATGCGAAAACATTCAGAATCAGATTAAATCATGACCAAAAGATAAACAGTGCCACAAGTTACTCAAACAATCTGAAGATCCCAATTTCTTCACTACATTCTTAACAAGAAGCTATTAATCTATTTCAGTACCTTACATAGTACATACCCCAAAAAACCCATTAACCACTATACATAAACACACCAAAACATAAACAGAAAAACCCCAGATTTAAGTGCACCTGTTTCTTAACACTCCAAGAAAAAAATTTTCAAAAAAAATAAATCTTTGAACAAAAGAACAGAATTTTAACTGCTAAAAACACAGCATAAAGTCAATTGAGTGAAAAATCAAAACCTTTAAGTTTTCTAGAGGAAAAGAGATAAGCAGAACCAACAACAATGGCTAAAACAGCTACTGCTGCACCAACAAGAATCTGAACATCAAGAGATTGCAAGAATTCCAAATCCATGATTTCTGAAACCAACCACCACAAAATCCAACACTTCTAGCAAAAAGACCCCAGATTTATTCTTCTTTTTAAGCTTTTGCAGTGGTGATTGGGTTTGAGTTACGTTTATAGGCAGAGAAGAGGATAATAATGGTTAAAATGGCAAATGTTTGGTGGAGGCACAGAACCATTTATCTTCGTAATGAGACCAAAATGAAGAATCTGGTGCACCTACCCCGTCCATAAGAGTCTCCTCGAACTTTTCATTCTATGATAGAATAGATGTGATGTGGTGCTGAATTATTTTATTTTTCTTTATTCAATTAAATTAATAAAAATCTTACATTTTCCTTTTGTCTTACCAACTAAATCAATTACGATGTGAAATAGATTTTTATGTATTTTCTAAAGAAATAATGTAAGGTAATGGTAAGTTGATATTTATTTAAAAAGTTTATTTATTATATATTACAAACGTAATTATTTAAATGATCTTGTGATTAGCTTAAAGGGTAAAATACATAAATAGTCATTCGACTGTAGGGTACTGCTTTATTAAGTCTCTCAACTATTAAAAGTTATAAAATTATTCTTAAACTATAGAATGTTACTTTGTTAAGTCCCTTGGCTATTAAAAGTTACAAAATGTTCACTGATTATTTATTATGTTCCAAACTCGTCTTTTTCATGTTAAAAAATTAGTTGTTGTTAAGGTGGACGTTAACATGATGGCTGAGATATGATAGTCATTGGAGATTCTAGGATCAAATTTTATCATATCACAATCAGCAGGTTAACGTTTAGCTCAGAATATTTTCAATTTTTTAACACGAAAAAAGACGAGTTTGGAACATAATTTATAGTCAGGTGATCATTTTGTAACTTCTAATAGTCGAGAGACTCAACAAAATAACACTATAGTCAGAGGATAATTTTGTAACTTTAATAATAGAGGGACTTAATAAAGTAATACATTATAGTCGAGGGAACATTTATGTACTTTAACCTTAATCAAAATGTTAACGGACAAAATTTTAGCCTCGATTAAAGATTTTGCACCAACCCTTCATATATTTAAACTTTTGTGAAAAAAGTGTGGAAACGATCGATAACAACACCATTGTTGAACATTTTTAAACATTTTCTCTGATTTAGGCCTCACGCGAAGAACAATATCGATATTTTTCTTTTAGTATCGATACTGACGAACCAGAATGCTCTGTTTTGAGCATGAAAACATACTCAAATCTAATCCATGCGCTCCCTTAAGACTAACAAAGCTTATTAATGTCTTATTTGAGGTCTTAGAGGTGAAAAAGAACCATCTTTCATGTATATAACACACAAATATGAATCTTGCCATGAAATCACTCAAACATGCTTGCATGAACAAAACATACCATATATGCACATTTAATGAACTACATGTGGTATGGACAAGTTAGAATAGTGTTACCTTGAAGCTAGGTGACAGAAAAATGTCCTTAAATCACCCAATGACTAGCTCTCTTTGCCTCTAGCCTTTGATCTCTCCTCTTGCTCTTACATTAATTTAAACAAGGAAGATGAGTTATTAACTCATTTAGGAGCTTAGGAAGGTGTTAAAAACAATCCTACAACTCAAAACACTCCCAAAAAAAGGATTGGAAGCTTAAGATTAATAACCCCACTAAAACCATTCTTGGAAAAAAACACTAAGCCAAACCTTACAAATGGGGGCTTAGATGAAAGCTTGGAAGATAAGGGTTATGATTCTTACCTTGGTTGCTTCAGAAGATGCTTGTAAACCTTAAAGTTCAAAGCTTTGCATACAATTTGGGGAAGAAGAATATAATAAAGAGGAGAGAAAGAAGACAACAAAGAGATGCAAAAAGGAGGGATTTTTCTGACGTGGTCATCCCACATAAATGGGATTTAGCTTTCCTTTCAAAAATTGGGGAAACTACTTACTTGGTCCCTCTACATTTGAGTCCAGATTAAAAAACACTATTAAGTCTCGTTGGGCTCATTTATGACCCAATTTAAAACCATTTGGGGTCTAAAGTTTAATATATTAAGGGAAATTTACTCCAAGCCCAAACGAATAAACCTGAAACTCCTAACTCGTATTTCGGGGCGTTACATAAATTTTATGGAGATGTTGACTTGAATAAGGGTCCGTTGGGAGAAGACCAAACAAGGGACTATCGGGACCATCAACGATTCAAGATATATTGTACGATTCAGGTGGTCTCAGGTGAAGCACAAATGTTCGATGAAATGGTTGTGAAAAAAAAATGGGATTAATGATGAGAGTTGACAAATTCTGTTAAGATGAACAAAGTGTTATTGTTGACCATCACTAATAAAATCAATGTTGTTGGGATTTTGATGAAGCTCAATTGAACAACCAATAATGTGCCAAGAGAGGGTGAATTAACTTTTTGAGTTTATGGAGTAAGGAGTAAAAAGATGAGACAATTTGCAAAAGGATTTATAATGGTTCGACTTCTCAACCAAGTCTACATCCACTACCTTAGCTCCTCACTAAGGATTTTCTAACAAATTCACTAATTTGTTCTTTCTTTTTCCAGGATAAAGAGATAACATGTACAACACCCTAGCTTTTCAAAGGCTAAACTAGAACCAATCCCTTTATAAAAGGAATAAGATGTAAACAAGAAAAATCTCTCGAAAGGAAGGTGTTTACAAAGATTTAAGCTCACTAAAGCAAAACATAAGGATATACAATTAAGGTCAAAACACAAATATTTACAAGATAAATAAAATAAAGATTGAAAAACTCTTCTCTTGTGTATGAATGCTTGGATAGATGTTGGTAATCTTCTTTAAGTGTTATCAACTTGTTTTATATGTTGAAATGAGTTTGTGGCCATTTCTAGCCATTGGGGATTAATTTTATGCAAAATAAAACTGCCATGGACATCGGTACTCTTTTAACGAGTATCGATACTACCTTTGAAATATTTAAATAAACTAGTCGTTAAAGACCGGTAGTCTTGAGCAATATCGATACTATGTTTTATGGTATCGATGCCACTGTGTAAAGTAATATTGGTGCCCCTTTGAGTATCGGTACCTATTTTGAATTCTGGAATTTGAGTCGTTTGAAAAACATATGGTAGTATCGATACTACCTAAAGAGTATCGATACTACCTAAAGAGTATCGATACTTCTCTTACCTTTGGTATCAATACCACATGAACACTATTAGTACTGTTTATATAGTATCAATAATGTAAGAACAATATCAGTACTACATATTCAAAAAATTGTTTTGTGCTCAAATTATAGTTTAATGGACTTTGAATTATTTTTGAAAGCTTTGAACAAATTCAATCAAGTCCAAAAACATTTTTGCCTTAATTTGTTATATCAAAATATTATAAAACATTGTTCAACAATCTCTCCCTTTTTATATAACAAAACATTTGAAAAATTATTTTGGCAAAACTTCTCCTTAATAAAATATTTAATGAAAAAGAGCAATATTTGGAAAATATTAAAGTTTCCCCTTTTTCATTCTTGAAATTGAATTTTTCAAACTCATACTTCTCTCCTTTTTATTATATAAAAAATAATTCAGCTTTAAAGTTCAAAAATAAAAATGGAGAGTAAGTGGTAAATTTTAGCATAAAATCATTTAAAAAACAAAGCTCCCCCTCAATAAAAGCATTCCAAACAAAAATTTGACTTTAAAAGCTTGACACTTAAAAGACATTAAATTTCAACAAAGATGAACAAATATGTTACTAGCACAAGAAATTCAAAATAGCAAAGTCTAAAATACTTTATGCAATACCAATTTTTGTATTTAAGTGCATGTGCATAAAGCTATCCAAAAATGTTATGCATTTGAAAAATTGATATCAATTGTTAGAGAGATATCATTTAAATAAATCACATGCATAAACATTAAGGTTAAAAATTAAAAATTGTAAAAATAAAACATTAAAACCAATTTTGACCAAAATTTATTACGATGAACAAACATTTATGAAAAATCATTAAAACTTTAGAAAATGTTCATCACAATTCTTTTTAAAATACATGAGATAGAAAACGTAAATCATTTAAAAATCAAAACTCATGTATGCTTAAACTAAATGAGCATCTAATTAATCAAAAACAAAAACATTGAGCTTAAAGGTTATATATTCCTTTTCAAGTGCGACTAGAGCATTTGAATAACTTCACTTTCATCACCATTGCTCCCACACACCTGCAAGAGACATTTATGTGGATTTTGGTATCCAAATTGCTTTAGATCATTGAACATTAGTTTCAATGCCCCTTGTTACCTTAGGAATCCACACTTGTTTATGTTCCTTGTGACCATGAGAATGATAATGTGAGCATTTTTTCATTATGAAATTAGATGAATTATTTAAAATAATTTCCTTTTCTTTTATTAAGCATTCAAGCTTAACCTTTAAATCAAAACTTTCTTTTTCAAAATTTTCAATTTTCATTTTTGAAAGCTCAAAATCCTTTTTCAAAATTTCATTTTGTTTTTCAAAATCAACTTTTGCTTTCAAAAGAAAATCATTTTCAACTTTAAGTTTTGAAATCATTTTCTTGTATTTAGAGTTCATGGTCTTAAACTCAAACAATAATTAATCACATGCATCTTGTAACTCATCAAAAGAATATGAATTGGATTCATTATAGTTAGAAGATACTTTGGGCTCTTCAAGAGCCATTAAGCACACTACCTTTGTTGGTTCTTCTTTCTTGTTTCCATGAATTTATTCTAGCTTATTCCAAAGCTCCTTGGCATTTGAACAAGAAGAAACTCCTTCATAGACATCAGGACCAAATGCACAAAACAACATATGCATGGCCTTAGCATTATGTTTAGCTTTCTTCTGTTCTTGGAAACTCCGCTCCTTCGTCTTCTTCTTTGAGAAGAGTAGCCATTCTCGATCATCTCACATGCATTAATATCATTGGATTATATGAATAGCTTCATTAATTTCTTCCAATGATGGTTGTTGGATCCATTAAAGTATGGAGGCTTGCCGATCGGTTGAGAGTCTTCCATGTAGAACGAGCCAGAGGTGGAATCCATCTTCTCAGTCGTGTTAGAAATGGATAGAGCTTTTTCAAGGATTGTCTCAAGGTTGTTAGACCTTCAAGTGAGTCAAACTCTGATACCAGTTGCTGGGATTTCGATGAATCTCAATTGAACAACCGAATAATGTGCCAAGAAGGGGTGAATTGGTGTTTTGAGTTTAAGGAGTAAGAAGTAAAAAGATGAGATAATTTGCATAAGGATTTATAGTGGTTCAAATTTTAAACCAAACCTTAGCTCC